CACGATTCGAATCAATGCAATTTTTATTGGAATGCGCTTTGACAAAGAAAATTTTATCAGTGCAATTCGAAGCTTTGACTCGTCCAAACTTAGCTCGCAAGCTGATCCACAATCAGCGATTCGGTGGATACGTTCTCTTTCCTATTCGCAGAAGCTTTTTCTTCTAGTACTGATACCATTACTTATACCAAGAAATATGAAAAGCCCAAAGCCTTTCAATGACATCTGCCTCATCCACCAGTCTCAAAACAAGCGTAACTTCCATAGAAAAGTTAGGAGACAACTGTATCGAAATGACACTTCACCATAAAAGTTATTGTAGTATTCATAACTATTTGACAAAACTTGCCAAGAAACGCTATGTTAATGAGTAATTTATAAAGAATAAAAATAATCCACAATAGAGAGGAAACTGATAAACCAATTCTTCAGTTCACTTACAATCAACTCACCTATAATGAAAATCACTCACCATAACGCTACTTATTGTCGCTTTGACGACATTGCTGATACGTTTTCAGAGTATTTCTGTTCGTCGTACAATTGTTCAAAAAATATTCCTTCGCGTACTTTGGCGTGCTTATATCACTTATTTTAAATGCGAAGCCTTTCATAGCGAATAGCGACTTTGAGCGTATCTATCTATCTATCTATCTATCTATCTATCTATCTATCTATCTATCTATCTATCTATCTATCTATCTATCTATCTATCTATCTATCTATCTATCTATCTATCTATTTATCTATCTATCTATCTATCTACCTATTTATCTATCTATCTATCTATCTATCTATCTATCTATCCGCTTACCTATGGGTGCTTTCATGGTCACCCCCTTAAGTAGGTGTGAACCAAAATTAACGTGAGAGGGTAAGATGGTTTGACGAATATGACGCACTGGTGAAGACAACAATAAGGTCACAATACCGTGAGTAAGTCGTCAAACACATCCCGCCGTACAGCGGCACCTACCTAAGGGAGGGAATTTGCCGCTGGAATGCGGGTATGTGCCACAGATGATACACTTGGTATCTACCCAGGAATGACGATAACACACATGGGACATTTTAACGCGCGAGCGTTAGGAAATGCCGGACATCGGTAGCATCGAGCTGACGAATGCAAATAATAAATGTCAGGATCGCAGCTGCAATCAAACCCAAGCATTCTACATGGCAATGAAGCATTTTACCACAGAGCTACGCCAGGTCTCAGAACTACTTTTCAAATAGACGCTATATTCTTCGTGAGACATCAGTAGTGCTTGCAGTGCTGCCTACCCAGTTTTATAAACATTCAATATGCACTCCTTTGATACAGCCGTCACGTCGAGTTAACATCAATTGTGGTTAGGTACCATGCGCTGAAGTTGATTTTATTGCGATAGCAAATATATGTACATTCTTGACTGGATTTGGCTACCGGTGTCGACGTCATGCGCCGTATATGTATACGTATCTATATATTTAAAACAGAAGAAAGAAAAAAAAATCCAGAAAAAAAAAGCACTCCGGCTCGCAGAATCAAACGTGGGACCTCCGCTTCGTGAAAGCGAGGCGTTAACCACTGAGCCACCCCATAAACGGTCTTTTCCATTTAAACGGCAAGCTATTTATATCTACCACTTACCGCTGCTCTTTTTTCGGCATTACAAAAAAGATGGCGCAATGAGTGCACATCGCCACATCGCGCATCGGCGCCCGCTTTAATCTACTACGCGTACTCTGCCCGGCGCACAGAAGGAGAGCGACGCTCCCTCAGCGTCCTTACCTCGCGGTGGCGAGAAGGGGAGGATCGTATGCCTTGGCTAGCCTAGGGTTTTACGAGGAACGATTCTCTGTAGTTAATGTGCGCACAAAGGTCACTGTGCAATCACTGCAGTCTCCGTTCGCGAAAAGCGCGCGCGTTTCAGACGGCGAAGTAACAAATGAGACGCTCATTCACGTGCATCCGTACCCTAGAGTACGTTTCATGCGTAATTTAAGCGCGAGGAACGCGGAGCACGTCTCAATATGCTTTTCCTTGTGCGCGTGACCTTTCCAATTGTTGCTATCACGTTCATTGCTTCCCCTTTGCGGCAAAGCTGTGACATTTATGTAGCAGTGTCCACAACAAGCAATCTCGCGAGCATCAGCGCTTCATGTCATCCTCTGGTGGTTCTAATACGCATGTTGCAGTTGGCATCGTTGCGCAAGTGGAAACAACTGGTTATACAAACATTTGCAACTCTTCAACATATGTATGTGCGTGCAACATTTGTACATATATTTAGCATCATTTCATGACGTGTCCTTCAAGAAAAAATTGCAAAGCGGTCACCTTCCCTCCACATGCTTCGCATAACATCGATTCCCAGGTACGTGGGATCTGCCAATTTTTGTTTTCTCTTTTTTCCTCTTCCTCTTATGAAATAGCATATGCTATTCGCAATCTTAAAAAATACTTCTTCCGGTCGGGATAACATTTGCGTACATCATTTAAATATGGTTCCAAAAATCGATTCTCAGTTGTTATTTCATATACTGTAGCTCATTTTTTTCTAAAGCTTCTTTTCTTGACTCAATAAAGTGTGCAAAGGGTATACCAGTTTTTAAGAAAGGCGATGAAGATTATAGTAGAAAACAAAGGCCTATCTCCATACTTTTATCATTGGGTAAACTGATACAACCTTTATTTTTAGAGCTCCCAAACGCTTACCTTTCAAAATTTAATGTTGTATAGGCTTCCCACTTCGGTTTACGTCATAGAAGCTCCACTAAAAATGTTCTGCTTTTGTTGACCGACTTCATAAACATTCGCTTGATGGTGATAGCTTCTTGGATTCAGTATTTCTAGTTTACCTAAAGCATTTAGCACACTGAATTACTCAATTTATTTCGATCAGTTATAATCTCTTGGTATTAGCAGAACACTTTTAAAGTTTGTAAAGGTTACCTGTTCAACGATAAAAAAAACGTGGTCTTTACTGGTGTTTCCTACTATAATATTAAGATTTGCATTCATGGTGTTCCCCAGGAATACATTCTTGGTCGCTTCCAATTTATTAATTATAACAATGATCTCCCTGATGCCGTATGTTGATCACATTGTGTTTTGTGTGTTCACAACATCACCGTATCATGTAAGGTCGAAACAGTTCCAGCGTTATTATCAAATCTAAACTCTGTTCTTAGCTATACTGTTTTGTGGTGCCACAACAATGACCTAAGTATAAACCCGTCTAAAACTCAGCTCATGTTTTTCAGATCTTAAAACCACTTCTTATCTCCTGCTGCTTTAAGTATGGTTCCTAATACTATCTATGCTTTTGATCTATGCTTTTGTCGGTGTGCATTTAAACATAACTCCTAATTTGAGTCTACACTTGGTAAACATGAGGAAAAACTGCTTTTGGTAATTATACATTAATTAAGGCTATGCCATATTTCTCCACAAATGAATTATTATCACTTTACATCTCATTTTATTGTAGTCATTCTAACTATAACATAAATACCTGGTCGAACACCTATCACTCGTACACAGCATGTGTTCAACATATACAGAACCAAGCAATACGCATTGTCACTTTCAGCCCTCGTCGCTAGAACGCTATTTCATTGCTTAGGCAATAATGTGTGTACTAGTAAGTTATTTTAATTTCACTGTACTTGTTTTTTAAATTATATTTAACCGTCAGTTTCCTTTTAACCTCACCAACTGTGATTTACCAATAAATACTAACTGGACTGGCTTTGCATCAGAACGCCTATTCTCTCAAGGCCACGTAGTTGGTGCATAGCAAGTTCAAAAATGATGTTTCATGCTTTTTTTTGAAGTGAACAGGGTATTTCTATCACATTCAACCTTTGAAGGTGAAGCCTAAGGGTCCCAAAATTTATTATTATTATTAATTTATTATTATTATTATTATTATTATTATTATTATTATTATTATTATTATTATATATTATTATTATTATTATTATTATTATTATTATTATTATTATTATTATTATTATTATTATTATTATTATTATTATTATTATTATTATTATTATTATTATTATTATTATTATTATTAATATACGTGCGAAACCCGCCACATAATTATGAGACACACCGGAGAAGGGTATTAATTTTCCCCGCCTGTATTCTTTTAAACCGTGTATTTATAGAGGAACAGGGGAGCTCTCACGACTCGTTCCCGTAGACAGCAGCTGGCATTACTGGGAATCGAACCAACTTCCCCGAGCTCAGCATTGCGATACGCACCAACAATTAACTATGCCCTGTCCGAGCATGCGTGCCCAAAAGTACGCATAAGTGTCTTTATATCTTTTTTTTTTTGCATTAAGAATGGCATGGTCACTCCTGCGGAATTTTGTCGTTGCCTTCATCGTAAAGTTCTGTATAAAGTCTAAGGGTGATAATTACCCATGTCTCTATTGTGCTACGTGGGAGGGCAGCCGATGATCACCGCTTCAGCTAAAAGGAAAACTGTCGGCCATCTTTTGTCGTGTGATAGGTGTGTAGAAGGTACGGAGGATTGGACTACATAGTGGAACGGGCTGCCTTCGCCATGAACTCAGTACTTTGAGCAGCTGGACTCGGTCGCATGCGCCATATTTTGACAGAAATAAGGAAGTGGGTCGGTGCTACGCTCGTCCTAAGCTCGCACCACTGAGTTTGAACTGATGCGACAGAGAGCACCCAGGTCATCTCACTCGCTCACTGGTCGCGTTTTTATACCCTGGTTCTTTGTTTTATTACGCCATGCAGGATGCCAAATAAGCCAGCTTCTTGGCTTAACTGGCCTGGGTTTTTAGTTTTGTGCCATCGCCTTCACTTCTTCGTTGCGGCAAAACCTTGTATGTTTTTTTTTTGCTTCGTGAAACAACTCAACCGGCATTAACTCTTGTTGCGATCTTCTACCGCATATCTTATAGAAAATGTGCCATTTGTAGACAATGTAAATTCGATAACAATGGATGAAGCAACAGTGCCCTTGACTCACCTGTGAGAGGCCGGTTTCTTTAAGCTGAACCAGCGAAAAGGATAGGTTCGTCCGAGATCCAAACGTGTCGAACTGCAGTCTTCCTGTGAGACCGGATGCAGTGCCCTAAAACATGAAAAATAACACCACATTCAGTTTCGCTGTGGTGAATTCACACAATAAGAAATGATTACATTGTTACCTTTATATTATATTTTTCAGCAGAAAATAAACTGAGAGTTTAGGACAAAGATCTGTAACAGAATAGAGGCAAGCTGAACTTCGCATGGGCATGCCTGGCTAATTTTCTTTGTTTCTGAAACATTGCGAATTGATCACTTTGATCTGCTTTCTGCCTCAATGCCTAAAATTATACCATCATTCACGTGCTGAGCAGAGCCACAGAAAGCTCCTACGGTCAACTACAACGGTCATTCACTCGTGTCGAAACAACAAAGGTGTCACAAAACAATATTGAAGTTACATGAATAATCAAAATAGAAGTTCAGATTGCTGAATAACAAACGACTCATCTCTGAAAAGCGCACCATTGAGAGAGCTTAGTTATTAAAAACAACGCACAGAATTATGTTAATCACTGGTGCAGCTTTAAGGGCCACATATGACTCACTTTTTAGGCGCCATATTTTTTTGAAGAACGGTTCTCCAACACCAAAAACACTCGTGAGACACCAAATGTAGCTTCCCTCAGGGACTTTCAAGGGACGGCTCACTGCTCTCCCATAGTTGAGTACCAAGTACTCAAAATCGTTTAAAATGTTTTCTAAATACACGACTCTTGGATGTGCCATTCATGCATGTATCTAACCCTCGTATTTACAAACGCTCCTTCACTCAAGAGCTCTCCTCGACTTGAAAAGGCCAATGGGAGCGCCGTCTCTTGGCAGACCAAGTCACTGCATATCGGCAATATTCTGCAGTGATTCTCGAGAAGCGCAGCGTCAATTTCAGTCGAGCAGCGGCGCAGTGCTCAACTCAGTCAACTGAAGGATAGAATTCGAGTCGAGGAGTGTTTCTCAATACGGGGGCTAGTCCACTATTAAGCTGGGACGGCTCTGTTTCCTCCCATAATAGAGTACCGATTACTCGAAATCGGTAAACACTTTTTCTAAACACAAGCTTGATTGGAACAGCGTACATCACACAATAACAGAGAAAGCATCTGGATAATCCCAGACTAATCGTCTAATCAGAGCCGCGTGGTTCACGCTGCACATATAGCGTGAAAATGCAATTGCGTACCGAGTGCACTCCGGCAAACAACATTTAACATCAACGTGAGTCCTATACGTTCCATATAACCAAGTAGCGGTGAGCTTAGTCTCGGATTTAAAAGTCCTCAGTGCCCATGACCTCAGTGTGATTTAGTGAATGGCATTGTGTTTCCAAGCAACCACTCGACAATCAGACGGTAAGGGCTTCAGTACTTTATGTGAACACTACGTTAGCTCCATTACGCAGTGTATATTGTGATGATTATGATAATCGTGTTAGCTATGCGTTGCATCAGTGAGTAGACACTTTTAAAAATGGAACTGTGGATGGGAGAGATCACTGAATGTAGGCTGGTGCCTGTGTTTTGGGCGGACCATCTCATTCGCCTCACGCCTGCCCTCTGAACGTGAAGAAGCTAGCGCAAAATTTGATAAGCTTGACAAAAGAAGGCTTTCGCGTGGGTAAGTTGTCTTTATACGTAGGAAAGCTAAATTTGATTGTGGTTATGATGGGTATAATGATATTGCCACGTTTCTTCCTGCAGTTTTCTTATCACCCCGTTACGTTGTACTCAGCGCAAACCACGCCTACAGTGTTGTGTAAGCTTCAGGACTGCAGTTTATCATTTCGTTGAGATTACGCCCTCTTCGTGAGAATTTCAGATTATTGTGGAATCTACGTCGCCGTTAGCGATAACGCTATCGTGTTCGATGGCGAGTGTATATATGCCGACATGCTTCGCCGCTTGTCAGTTGATCGATGACCGACGCTGCGTTCGCCGCTATAAGTGCAAGTGTGCTACTGTAACCCGACTTGCCTCTTACCGGGGACAAGTTCGTCCAATTAAGTAGGTTGATCTGACCATACACTCTCCTGTCTCAAGCCACGTCACGACTCAGTGACATCTGGTGGAGGTGCTGCTTCGTTTATGTACCAGATGCCCCCGTCAAGCCGTGAATCCAGCCCACGTCGTGGAGAAGACACCGACGCCAACCAGGAGGAGCGAACAAGCCACCGGCAGCCAGGTCTACCACCTCAGTACGGGCCTCTACTTGACAAGGCGGGGAATACCAAGGCCATGACGTCGATTGCGGTGACAATGACAACCGCTGCGTCACAGCCCGGAATCGTCGTGCATCAGCCCAGGGAACCACCAAATTTCCGCGGGTCATGGTTCGAAGACGCGGAGACCTGGCTAGAAACATACGACCACGTGGCCGCCTTCAACCACTGGTACACGGAAGAGAAGTTTCGTCACGTGTACTTTTAACTGGAAGACACCGCAAGGACCTGGCTCGAATATTGGGAGACTGCGCTTCAAACGTGGAATGTCTTCGCTGCGCCTTTCTGCAAACGTTCGCGAGCGTCACTCGCAAAGGGAGGGCCGCTGCTTTGCTAGAGACCCTGGTGCAGCTACCAAATGAAAATGTTGCCATTTTTGCAGAAGAAATGACTCGCCTGTTTGTCACTCTGCCCCGGACATGGCTGAGAAAAAGAAAGTTTGTTCCCTTCATGCGAGGGATCAAACAGGAGCTCTTCACGGGATTGATGAGAAACCCGCCGAAGACCTTCAAAGAGTTCCTCTCAGAAGCAACAAGTATTGAAAAAACCTTCCAAATGCACACACGATAGTTCAAACGCCGCTCGGCTCCAGGCTATGCAGAGATACAACCACTATGCTGCGATGATCTCCGCGAGATCGTAAGGGCTGTAGTGCGCGAAGAACTTCGTCGAATGTTCCCGTAATGCCAGCCTGAAGTTCCATCGATCACAGACATCTTATACCCCTGACACATTGCAACTACAGCCTCAAGCCATGAGCTACACCGCTGCTGCCGGCGCTATACTCCACGTCCACGTCAAGAGGCCGCACCACCGCATTTTCGTCGCCAGACACCACCGTCGCCCCCGCCAACGCTATACCATCCAACCGCCGGCCAGCGCAATGCTCCGAGAAAAACCAACGTGCGGCACGCCCCCGACCATCGGCTTTTCAGCTTCCACTAGGGGGAAGCTGGCTACACCTACCACCACTGCCGGTACCACCAGATGGGACTGCGTGGTTTCGCCATCGACGCGCCGCCTCTACCCTGGGGTGAAAGACCACGTGACTTCACCGATTATCTCGCCGTAACGCAGAGGACATCCCGAGGATCTTATCATTCACCTTCACCCTGCCGCTACATGTCACCGCACCGCCGTGAGTACAATGATCCAAGCCGGGCCCGGTCGCCTAGCCCACATCACGAAAACTAAGGGCAGCAACCGGTGGATGTGTGGTTGCTGCACGAAGAACTCCGGAAGATCCTCCACCGCTGACGACGACGCCACGACAAAACTTCAAAAACCCGCCATCACCTCAAAGTAGCCCCGACGTCTATACTTCGCGACCAGAAGTAGTCCTCATTACGCAACGTCGAAACAGTGGTGCAATCCGTCGTAGCCGTGATCCGACACTGTGACCTAACCGCAACCACAGGTGACGAACTAGCGACCTCGACATTTTCATCGCTGGCCACAGCGTCACAGCTCTCAACGACACCGGAGCCGACTATTCCGTCATCAGTGGTACTTTCCCGCGAATTCGAAGAAAGTTCAGACCACTTGGGAAGGCTCTAATATCCGTACAGCCGGAGGTCACCTATTGACACCAGGGGGAATCTGCCCAGCTAGAGAGACCATTCACAGCCGCATTCATCCCGCAAGCTCCGCCATAGTGCAGCATTGCTGTAGAGATTTCAATCTTGGAATGGACTTCTTAAGCCCCGATGTTGTGGTCATCGACCTGAGAACAAAGTCGATAACACTATCCACAGGAAAAGCGCTGCCGCCGCACACGTCGTTACGAAGGCACACACCTTGAATGTGCTGGAAGACCAAGTCACCGTTCCTCCTCGCTCTAGCGTCAGCATTTCCGTGGTGCTCAACAATCAACAGACATGCAAGGCGTCGTTGAAGGTGACCAACACGTGTTGATAAACCGCGAAATTTGCGTCGCCAGAGGAATAGCTGAGCTACGAGGAGGGAACGCAAGAGTGATGCTGACGAACTTCAGCAAATATTACAAGCATGTGAGCAAAGGCACAATGGTTCTCTACATAGAAGAGATACTGGAAGCAAGCAACGCTTTCGCCCTCACCACTTCCACCGAATCTGCTCTGACGACTGAAAGGCTTCAAGCAGCTTTCGACGTTAATCCGAGCCTTCCGACGCATAAACAAGAGCAGCTAGAAATCCTGCTCCTGAAATACAAGAACTGCTTTTCGTCGTCATCGAGAATTCGACAGACCCCTGTCGTGCAACATCGATTTGTGATAGAATAAAATTCCAGGCCACTCCATCAGAGTCCGTACAGAGTTTTGACACGAAAACGCGTGGCCACAAAGGAACAAGTCAACGAAATGCTCCACTACGACTTTATCCAGCCTTCAAAAAATTCATAGGCGGCACCGGTAGTATTAGTGAAGAAAAAGTATGGGACACTACGCTTCTACATTGCCTTTCGCCGACTGAACAAGATAACGAAGAAGGACGTATATCCTCTGCCCCGAATCGACGACGCCCTTGATCGACTCTACAACGCTAAATATTTTTCATCGATGGACCTCAGGAAAGGCTAATGGCATATCGAAGTAGACGAAAGAGACCGGGAAAAGACTGCGTTTATAACACCAGACGGTGTTTTTGAGTTCAAGGTTATGCCCTTCGGTCTTTGCTTGGCACCTGCGACTTTTCAACGCGTTATGGACACAGTGCTGGCAGGATTGAAGTGGAACTTGTCTCATTTACTTGTACGACGTCGTAGTTCTTTTCTCGAGCTTCGACGAGCATCTTCGGTGTCTTGAAGCTGTACTTCAAGCCATCAAGGCTTCTGGACTCACTCTGAAGCC